TTTCAAATATATCATTATGCATATATTAAGAATACTTGGTTTGGCGCCAATGTATGACATTAAAAAATAGCTGAAAAAGGCACTGGACCCAAAGAAAAGGTCATTTAGTTCCCCTTTGCGTACCTGAATGAACAAATACAAAAGTTTACAAAATTCTCATACAAACTACCAAACAGAAAGACAGAAAAGTGTTACAGGTAAACATAAACATAAAAACAGTGAAAAAAAATTACAACAAAAACAGAACACAAAAAATTGATAATTTACGAAAAATTCTTCTCTCCTGCTATAATTTCAGAAACTTCGCTGCTCCGTTGATTGTACCGAAGCAGAAGTACGAAGTGCTGTTTGCACCTTCCATTGCATTCATTCATTTCCAATCTGAAATGAATGCAAACCATAACAAGACGTGAAACTGAATCAAATGCCATGCTGGTGGATGATAGTTCCTTACCAAAAATTTTTAGATATTTAAGTGATTAATAGAAAAATATCTCACCTGGAGAGTGAAGATGCTGTGCCATTTCACCCGTTTCTGTCAGCTCTAATCTGTTGCGCTTGACTCTCCTGTCATCTAAAATCGATTCATGTGCCCTTGGACAGCAGTAGAGCATGTGCACTTCCACGGCTGCCTGCTTCTGTTCAGTCGTGAAAGCAAGTGGGAGAGTCAAGTAGTACGTGCAGGCAGCGCAAAACATTTTTAATATTACGAGTAAACGGAATAATTTTGCTGCAAAGGAATGGCAAATATTAATTTCAATTACTTACTATCTCGTCTGTGGATCTTCGCTGCGTGGATGCGCCATTCCTTGAGAGTTTCAAATGGTGCTTACAGAAGCCCAAACTAAAAATTCATGATAGCATTCATACTGTTCCATTTTTGAATATAAAAAATTAAAACCACTCTCTCTCACAGACACATACTTCTCTTTTCCCATTTTTTTCATTTGAAGGATGCGGCCACCTACAGATAGAGGTTTGTGCCCCATCAACGACGACTTCGTGTGCATTAGTCGTTGGCTCTTGCAGCTTTCTCTTAAGCTGTCGTCGTTGATGGGGGACGAACCTAGAATTGTGATGTATTGCTTCGATTCGCTCATTATACGTCATATTGCTTCGATTCGCTCATTATACGACTTTTTTCAATCACTATAAACCAAACAATAAAGCACACATTAAGGGTCCTATGAACACATGATACTAGCTATGACAAACAGTACTGCTCATTTCTGGGTTTATGTCTGTTTGTAGAAAATTACAAACAAGAATCCGAAAATTTTCATATATTACGGCTGCGGGAGTAAAAATGTCGTAATTGGTTCAATTCTTCGCATAATTCTGTCAGTATTGCCAGCAAAGTTTTGCAGTTAATTTCGACATAAAATATGTCGAAATTACTTCAGAAGACTTCAGATCTTTGCGTGGGTGGTATAAAGTTTGCTTAACAAAAATCTAAAAGATAACTAAAAACTGAAAAAAAAACTGTATCTCAAACCTAGTTCAAAATCATGTCAATAAACACAATGCAAGACATCCATTATGACAAGTCTCAAACTTTTGAGTCTGAATACAACAAAACTGCCGAGGAATTCTTTTACCATTAAGTGCTATTCACAAACGCAATTCAACTCGTCGAAATCAAATATTACTTTTTTTATCAGATATAAATGATAAGTGAGGCTCAATTATAAATCTTGAACTGAAAACTTTCTTCTGTTTGATTCACCAATCTTGGAAAGGATGAATTCAAAAAGAAGGAATTGAGCACATATTTTGATCCGCTTCCCTCTCATTACATGCTCACTATCTAAAAAACTGATTCAAATTACATCTACTTTCACAGTTATATGTTTTTATTTGAATGCAAATTCAAATAGTGAAAGTATTGTTACATAATGCTTTCAATTTGCGAGAAGTCATTTGGAACACCCGTAGTTCAAGCTAAAAATGAACGTCTATACAGTCGAAAACAGTCAAAATATCTGTAATCTTAATCGTATTTATCACTCAAATATGATTTCTGTAAATTTATGTCAATAATCATATTATGCATACGTGAAACTGAGGCTACATATGCCTTATTGTTTGCTTTACATTTGTTGCAGAGATTAAAATTGAAATGATATTTTCGAAAGAAAAATTGCATCTAAATTTTCTGGAATAATTTGATAGATACAATAATAATAGAGTGAAAAATACTACTTGTATATCTTGAAAGACGGCAACAGCAGAAAAAAATCACTCAATGACGGTATGTCTCCAATACCCATCAAAAAATAATTCGCCTCGAATGGCAAAGCACTAATCTACCGATAATTCTCGGAATTATTTGCATGTTAATCCTTGTAACGCAATTTCCAATCGCTTTATAAGTTTTCGTTATGACACACAATCATCTTTTCCGCCCAAAAGTCGCCTGCCCGTT